CTATTCTCGTGATACCACAAACTTTGTGTGAAATTAAGGGTATGGTTTCCAGACCGTAGTAAGGACACAGACGCAAAATTCAATTAGAACTGATTTTATTAAAGGATGAGATGTTGCCGTAGCTAATACAGTTCATCAAGTGTTTTCTTTACAAAGGAGTATCTACTTTTTATGAGTTCCAGTATTTAGAGTGCTGACGCTGCTGGGTAGTGCGTTGGGCTGATGTCATCTATCGTCACACTATCATTGGGAAAGATAAACACAATACTGAATGTACGGCATAGCGTGATTCGCAACCAGTGAAGTGACAACATATATGTTAAAAGCTGGTAAGTATTTACACATATTTTATCCACATATGCTTCACATAACTTGTTTAGTCCACGGATTAAATAGAGTAGCAGAAGAAGTTCGAATACATTTTCCTTTAATCAACAAACAAATATCATCGGTTAAGAAAGTTTGTTTGAAAGCTCCACTGCTTTTAGATACAGCGCTATCGAGAGAGACTAGGAAATATTCCATTGCCACCTAAACCTATCATAACAAGATGGGAGACATGGTTAGTGGCAGCATTATTTTATGCCACGCATTTCGACAATGTCAAAGAGGTAATTGAAAGTTTCAATGCAGAAGATGCAACGTCGATTAAATCGGCACAAGAGGCGTTGCGAAATGAGCAGACTATGCCAGATGTAACGCTCATACGAGCTTACTTCGAAACTCTGCTACTCATTATGAAAAACTTGGAAACAATAGGGTTGCCCTTAATTAAGTCTGTGGAACTAATTAATCAAAAAACTGAGAACTTAAAAACTATACCTAGTGATTGTAGAAGAAACATTTTTACAAAGATCCAAACAATTCTACGGAGAAATCCAAATTTTAATGCTGTTGTGCCCGGTTATGCATCAGCATATCACACGGTGAGACCGTCTGCAGTCACTCGGCAGGAGTAACGAATATCGAGTCAGCAACACGTGCCAAACTGTAAAGCAAAACCTATGTTTTGCCGGGTGGCAATCCAACACCCCTACCACCTCATTTTCAGGCGAATGCGACATTATAAAAACGACACTCATCGCTGTGCGGGCACATTGATATCGAACAACAAAGTGTAACTTAAGTTGAATAAATCCTTCCTTTCGCTCAACTACCGGTGAATGCTAATTCTTCGCACTACGAGAAAAAGCCTTGCTACGGCTATAACCCTACGGAGAAGCACTTCACGCAGTTTGTGTTATTCTTCAGACGCATCTGAAGAGGGCCATCGTCGTAGAAGAAATCGCCCATTTGAGGGAAGCAGCAAGTCACATCTGTACTGCTGGAATTGTTGCATAAAGAGCCACAATGGGAAGATTTGCAGGGAAAAATCAAGAAACAGTTGTAGGCAACGACACCGATTGACATCTCCACGGGACGCGACCACTGCTTCATGCTAATCTTTAAACTACGAGAGCGCTCATCGAATCGGCGATCCGTTGAGTGAACTCAAAACGAATCGCCCAAAAATAAAAACTGGAAACAGGACAACGAAGGTTCCTTTCAGATAGTGGAGCATCTGTAAACCTAGTTAGGCTGTAACTCAAGTACGCCATACTTTGAGAGATGCTGCTAAAGTAATTTCCAAAGATGAAATACCAATTGCGGGCATTACTTTTCCTCCTGTATACACATTAGGAGGCGTTATTTTAAAACTTGATGGTATTCCTACATTTTTTTATGTGGTAGAAAAACTACCAATCGACGCCGATGGATTTTTTTGGAAGCCCGTCTCTTTTGCAATAAGAAGGCGAAATTTCATACTACCACAAGACATTAGATAAGACAAGACAAGACATTATTCCGTGACCGACCAACAAAACCTATACGTTTTAGTAATTGTTCGGAAATGGAAACAACTTCAAAACCGACTACGTCTGAAGTCTACAATAACTTCCGCTTTAGCCTTATTTACTTTAATTTTCCAGTCTTTATAGAATGTTTCTAGTATGTGGATGTGTATTTGCAGTTGTTTTGCGGCTACTATTGCTGAGAAGGAATGAGCATAAATTGCTAAATCGTCTGCGAATAACGCAATATTTGTTTCGCTGTATGTATTTGGGTATGTCGTTGATAAAAATGATGAATAATTTAGGTCCATGAACTGATCCTTGTAGCACTCCGGCTCTCGCTTTTCGCTTGGTGAACTTCACATTTTCTACTGTTATAATTATATGCCTGTTTTGTAGATAGGGGTGTGTAAATTTTGTAAACACTTCTGGGTATTTATAAGCAATCTTCTCATATATTATCGCGTCTTTCCGTACCTTCTCAAAAGCTTTCTTAATATCCAACAAGGTAATTACAGTTAGTTTGCTGTAGTTGAAATTATTGCTGATGTCATTCACTATTGTTGTGAGTTTCACTATTGTCATTCACTATTGAAGTTCTATGACGCATTTATGAGATACATTGTTTGTACTACTATTTTCTTTGTGATATTTTTGAGTACTATATTCTGTATGGTGCCAATTTCAGGTGCTTTACGATTAGGCAATTTCTTTAATTCTTCAACTATTTCTTTGGGGTTAGTATAATACTTATGGGCTTTTGAGGTTGATGAGTTTTCCACGCAATCTTTTACTGTCTTTATAATATTTTTTTGCTGGTTTGTGTTATTTGTGACTTCAATATTGTGTACTTCTTCAATCGAGTCAGCTTTTTCTTGAGCTGTTATAGCTCCGAGTCCATTTTTTTCTAATGTTGGTATCGTATTATGTTCTGATTTAAAAATTTTTGGTTTTCTCCATAAGGAGTTATCTTTAGGATTTAGTATTTGTAATTGTGCACTACATCTTTTGTTTCTGTGTTCAACTATTTTCTTCTTGATGTCTCTGTTTGCCTTTGTTAAAAATATGATTTATGTATTTGGTAACAGGTGGCTTACATAGGGAATAATTAAAGTTAAGTTGGCATCCTTTATTCTTTCTGTCAACATACATTTATAGGTTGGCAAAAGTTCTTTGTTAAGCCCGCCGCACACGGTGCTTGTTTTCTTGCAGGATCGCTTGCTTGGAGCTACGCACGCAGCCGTGCAGGTGTTACGTCCCGCGTTGCGGTCGTTACTTTATTTATATTTTCGGGTCCTGGCTCTTTTAAGGTGCTAAAGCACGCCCTGTCTAAACTTACCGATGATATACAGAATTAGGATATGGAACGGGAGGGATAGGAAATCACTCTCGTTTATAACAACAACAAGATATATTCTAACAATGAA